CATGACTAAAGTCTCTTTATCATTAGAGGTTTTATATTAGCATATAAATCTAAATCCAAATACTTTTTGAGAGCCTGATAACAAAAATAAAAGTCTCACCATTAAAAGCCATGTCCCAAACACACAATTATAAAGTTCTCATTATAATTGTATGTAGCCGATATGACAGACTTAACTGTTGCACTGAACTGTATTTTCCTTTTTTGAAGTGATTCTAATCATATTTTAATCAATTGAAAAACATTGTTGAACACTGCGCATCTGAAGTGTCTCAGCTGACGGAAATAAGGAAATAATACATCATTTAATAATGGATTATTTAATATATCCGCTAATTGAAAAAAATAGCTTTCATATATTGGCCAAATTTAATATATCGGCTTTAATATATGGGCCAAATTTAATAGGCCTATATCGGCTTTAATAAATTGGCCAAATTTTATATATTGGCTTTAATATATCGGACAAATTTAATATATCGGACAAATTGAATATATCGGCTTTAATATATCGGACAAATAGAATATATCGGCTTTAATATATTGGCCAAATTTAATATATCGGCCATCTTTAATATATCGGCCATCTTTAATATATTGGCCAAATTTCATATATCGGCCAAATTTCATATATAGGCCAACTTTAATATATCGGCTCTAATATATCGGACAAATTGAATATATCGGCTTTAATACATTGGCCAAATTTCATATATCGGCTTTAATATATCGGCCAACTTTAATATATCGGCTTTAATATATTGGCCAAATTTAATATATCGGTCATGTTTAATATATCGGCCAACTTTAGTATATTGGCCAAATTTCATATATCGGCTTTAATATATCGGCCAACTTTAATATATCGGCTTTAATATATTGGCCAACTTTAATATATCAGCCAACTTTAATATATCGGCCAACTTTAATATATCGGCTTTAATATATTGACCAAATTTAATATATTGGCCAAATTTAATATATCGGCCAACTTTAATATATCAGCCAACTTTAATATATCGGCCATCTTTAATATATCGGCCAACTTTAATATATCGGCTTTAATATATTGACCAAATTTAATATATTGGCCAAATTTAATATATCGGCTTTAATATATCATCCAACTTTAATATATCGGCTTTAATATATCGGCCAACTTTAATATATCGGCTTTAATATATCGGCCAACTTTAATATATCGGCTTTAATATATCGGCCAACTTTAATATATCATCCAACTTTAATATATCGGCCAACTTTAATATATCGGCTTTAATATATCATCCAACTTTAATATATCGACTTTAATATATTGGCCAACTTTAATATATCATCCAACTTTAATATATCGGCTTTAATATATCGGCCAACTTTAATATATCGGACAACTTTAATATATTGGCTTTAATATATCGGACAAATTTAATATATCGGCTTTAATATATCGGCCAACTTTAATATATCGGCCAACTTTAATATATTGGCTTTAATATATCGGCCAAATTTAATATATCGGCTTTAATATATAGGCCAACTTTAATATATCGGCTTTAATATACCGGCCAAATTTAATATATCGGCTTTAATATATATCGGACAAATTTAATATATTGGCTTTAATATATGGGACAAATTTAATATATTGGCTTTAATATATCGGCTTTAATATATCGGCCAACTTTAATATATCGGCTTTAATATAATTGGCCAAATTTAATATATCGGCCAACTGTAATATATCGGCTTTAATATAATTGGCCAAATTTAATATATCGGCCAACTGTAATATATCGGCTTTAATATAATTGGCCAAATTTAATATATCGGCCAACTTTAATATATCGGCTTTAATATAATTGGCCAAATTTAATATATCCGCCAAATTTAATATATCGGCTTTAATATAATTGGCCAAATTTAATATATCCGCCAAATTTAATATATCGGCTGAAATATATCGGCCAAATTTAATATATCGGCCAACTTTAATATATCGGCTTTAATATAATTGGCCAAATTTAATATATCGGCCAACTTTAATATATCGGCTTTAATATAATTGGCCAAATTTAATATATCCGCCAAATTTAATATATCGGCTGAAATATATCGGCCAAATTTAATATATCGGCCAAATGTTCTTATCGGGCCGATAACGATAATATTAAAAGTGAACATAAGGGCCGATACCGATATGGTGGCCGATATATCGTGCATCCCTGATTACTGTTAGGTTAGGGCTCGGGTTAGTAGAATAAAAGTTGACATGTATTTGCAAAGTCACTTATAGTCAGTAGATTGTCTAAAAGTGGACCATCACATTTGTTGCTGAATATCTCCTGGTGTCCAGGCCTGCCCAGGGATCATCCCGAGAGCTATCACTCCTACATGTGGAATAACTTCTTCAAGCACGTGGACATCGAGCCGCACAACACTCATATTCTGGACGGGAACGCCAGCGACCTGCAGGCCGAGTGCGAAGCCTTCGAGCAGAAGATTGCGGTCGCGGGAGGAATCGAGCTGTTTGTGGGAGGTGTGTCAAGAAATCTGACCCGAGAACGCTTTATTAGACACTGAGAGACGCCAGGAACACTGCACTTCTAAATCTGCACACACAAAACCGGCTCTCTAACCAGTTTAGCTGCTGCAATAACAGACACATTTAGTCAATAAGAATGATTCCAAATGCTTGATTACGCAACTCAAAGGTCAAAGGTCTTAAAGGGACAGTACACCTGAAAATCAATATTCTGTCATCATTTAGTTGTTCTAAACCTGTATGAGTTTCTTTTGTTGAACGCAAAAAAGAAGATATTTTGAAGAATGGCGGTAACCAAACAGTTGATGGACTTCCATAGTATGAAAAGTAAAAACTGTCAATAGGGACCAGAAACTATTTGGTTACAGACATTCTTCAAAATATCGTCTGTCCCTTTAAGTCTTGAGCTTGCTGTAGCAATAACTGATTTTATATTTGTATCTGGTCCAAATTTTGTACAAATTTAGTGTTATTTTAGTATTATTAGTACTATTAGTATAGTATTTATTAATACTTTGAATTACTTTTTATTGGTAACACTTTACAATAAGGTTTCATTTTTTTAACATGAACTAACGATAAAAAATGCTATACAGGATTTATTAATCTTAGGTTATGTTAATTCCTACATTTACTAATACTTCATTAAAATCAAAAGTTGTATCTGTTAACTGATCAATTTAAAAACTGATTTATTTATTCAATCTCAATGATACTAAAATAACATTGGTTTAATTTTTAAGTATAAAAAGTTATTTTCATTTTATTGAAATAAAGCTGCAGTAAAATAATAAATATTACATGAAAAGAAAACATGATACTTATAAAAAATTAAACTGATGTTATATTAATATCATTGAGATGCTGAATATTTTTAATCAGCTTTTATTTTTATATTTTCCATTTTAAATTTGGTTTTAATTTTAATCATTATTAAAATAATTTGAGTTTTAGTTAACAATAACAACACTGGTCTGAATGATAAACAACATACTTTACATATTAGATTAATAACTTTTATAAATCTATTGGGGTGAATCTCATCTCATCACATTTCATTTTATATTTTCAATATAAAGGATTTAAAAAGAAATTATATTTTCCACAGAAAATGAACATTTTTGTACTGTTTCCATGATAAATAAGCGCGTTTTCATTACATGTCTGTAAGTTTTCACTGTTCATTCAATTTCATTCACGTATTTAACTTTATCCATTAATCTTTTACAAGTCCTGTCTTTTGTTGTTTTCTTCAGGCATCGGTCCAGATGGACACATCGCCTTTAATGAGCCCGGCTCCAGTCTGGTGTCCAGGACCCGAGTGAAGACACTGGCCAAGGACACCATAGTGGCCAACGCCCGTTTCTTCGGGAACGATCTTTCCAAAGTTCCCAGCATGACCCTCACCGTCGGAGTGGGAACAGTGATGGACGCCAGAGAGGTGAATCACACACGCGTGTCTGTGGCTGAAGCTGCAACAGGAACGTAGAACACACACACACACACACACATCTTTTGTCCCAATCAGATACGCTTTTGTTTGGAGCATTTGTCATGTGCAATTCATAGATATAATTATCCTTTATAATATAGTTACAAATGTTCTCTTTGTTATAGCTATAAACTGATCATGTGTCAATGAGAGACTGAATGTCCTGGAAATACATACACACTTTAACAGAGAGGATGCTGGGTAAAGTGTTGGTTGTGTTGGCTTGGATGCCAGACATCAGCTGATTCTCATCATTAAATCATTAAAGCATCTCCTATAAACACACAGACCATATTTCACTCCAAAGAATCATATTATAATCAATTATGTGTTTGCGTAAAGAAGCCCATTTTTTGGTCCTTTAAGATATTGTGGCATTAATTTCCCAAATTCTGTTATATATATTTTAATATTATTGTTAAATTCAGTACAACAAATACAACCATGATTTATACTTACAGTTAATGTTACATATACGTTACAATTTAAAGAATAATAATGTTATTATTATTAAATAACAATAATAATACATATTATTAATATTAGTATTGTTATTATTATGATGAAGACATATTTGGGTCATGAGTCAAACCTAAATCAAAGGAAAATATATATTTGTTATATTATTAATATAAGTATTATTATTATTACAGTAATAAGTATAATAATAATAGTAATTATGAAGAAATGTTTGGGTCATGATTTAACCCTAAATCAAAGGAAAAATATATATTTTCATTACAATAACAATAATTGTAACAATAAGTATTATTATTATTATTGTAATTATTATTTCAGTAATTAGGATTATAATATGCAATAATAAAATAATTATTATCATCATCATCATTACAGTAATGAGTCATAATTTAATTTAGAGTTAAATCATGACCCGAGGCTAATTACTGTAGTAGTAATAATAAATAATAAAAACTAGGGGTGGAACGGTACACAGAAGTCACGGTTCGGTTCATACCTCGGTTCAGACATCACGGTTCGGTACGATTTCGGTACAGTGGAGGGAAAAGCAAAACAAAAATGCAGAAGGCATTGTATTTTTTAAATAAGTTTTTTTAATAAAGGCATAGAACCAGTTTATTTGTAGTTCAGGTTAATTGTACCTGAATTAATTTAAAATTATTTTGCTATATCTCAGATCAAAATATTTGTTTTTCCTTAATTTTAATTAACATTATTAATTGACAATGTAACATTATTCTCTTCTGAATTATAAATAATTGATTTCTGTACAAAATAATACTACCATTAAAAACACATTCGATTTTCTTTTTTTAATGAATGTAGAATGTGTAAGATTAGCGCTCCGAGGACGAGAAATGGAAACCAATGCAATATGATGAATGTCCAAAAGATGGGACCCACAGACTGTTTTGAAATGGAGTTGGATAAATATGTTTTGCTTTTAAAACAGTGTGTGTGTGTGTGTGTGTGTGTGAGAGAGAGAGAGAGAGATTTTGGTTGGGTGACAGTTGTAGGTTACAGTTTGACAAGAGTTTAGAGTGTGACAAAAGCACAATGTTGTGTTTTATTGCGAGTGTACACAAATATAAGTAAACACTTTGCAGGTTTAATGATCTGTATGAACAAAATGACGGAGTATGTTTTTTATGTTTCCACTGTTCGATCGCGCGCCTCTCTCTCTCACACACACACACACACACAGTTCGATCGCGCCCGCGCGCCCCTCTCTCTCTCCCTCTCTCTCTCACACACACACACAGTTCGATCGCGCCCCGCGCGCCCTTCTCTCTCTGCCTCTCTCTCTCTCTCTCTCTCTCTCTCTCTCTCTCTCTCTCTCTCTCTCTCTCTCTCTCACACACACACACTCACTCCAGCATTGCAATCTTGACATCGCAGCCTGTTCATTATGCGGTCACACCAAACGCGAATAGAGCTTCAAATTCGCGTCTAGTTCGACGCTAGTCCAAAGCGAAAAGGACGCGCGTATTTAAAGCCGACGTTTGAAGTGAACGCGCGTTCAGAGCTAAGCCGATGGTACAGATTATGTGTCCCTAAAGAACCTGCGTATCTAACAGTAGTTCCGCATTACATTAATTAATTTGCACGCAAGTTTTATTTATTTTTATACCGTGTATTCTCCGTGTAAATTCGTGCACCGAACCGTGACGCCCGTACAGTTTCGGTTCGATACGAATACATGTACCGTTCCACCCCTAATAAAAACATATATATATATATATTTTTTTTATTATTATTATTTTTTTTAAATCATGGTTTAAATCATGACCTGATCATTTCTTGAAGCGATAAAAGCACAGTTGGAGAGTCGCTGTAATGTTCAGCTGTAGTTTCTGCAGTGTGTTTCCAGCAGAAGTGTAATGATGAGTGCGTGACGTCTCCTCTTCATCCTCCTCTTCATCCTCAGGTCATGATTGTGATCACAGGAGCTCATAAGGCCTTCGCTCTATATAAAGCCATCGAGGAGGGCGTGAACCACATGTGGACGGTGTCTGCCTTCCAGCAACATCCACGAACCATATTCATCTGCGATGAAGACGCCACGCTGGAGCTCAGGGTCAAAACCGTCAAGTATTTTAAAGGTATTTTAAAGCCTCGGGTGACCTGCGCTCACAGAAAGTTGCTTCAAGATCAGAGAAACAGCTATTTAACTGAATAACCACTTGTTTATTTTAACCAGTAACATGCTCATCCAGATTTACCAGTTCGCTCTTAAATGTTAAGTTCTGTGTGGATTAAATCCACGAGGCGTTTAGTGTCGTGACTTTATGAAGGTGCTGATGGTCTCAGGGTTCATATATAAGATTTGGTTTTTATTTGGATTTAATACTTTTATTCAGCAGGGAAGCATTAAAGTCATCAAAAGTGACAGTAAATATGTTTATAATGTTGCAAAAGGTTCTATTTCAAACCAGATAAAAAAAAGTTTGTCAAGACGAACTTTGAAGTTGGGTTTGAGAAAGCAAGTTTGAAAAAAATCTAAAAGTTTGAATGTTTAGAAGGCAATACAGTCTATCAGAAAAACAGATGGAGGGATAAATAGACGGATTGATAGATAGATAGATAGATAGATAGATAGATAGATAGATAGATAGATAGATAGATAGATAGATAGATAGATAGATAGATAGATAGATAGATAGATAGATAGATAGATAAATAGATGGATGGATGGGTAGATGGATGGATGGATAGATAAATGGATGGATGGGTGGATGGATAGATAGATAGATAGATAAATGGATGGATGGATATATAAATGGATGGATGGATAGATAAATGGATAGATAAATTAATGGATGGATGGATGGATAGATGGGTGGATGGATAAATAGATGGATGGCTGGGTGGATGGATGGATGGATAAATAGATGGATGGGTCGATGGATGGATGATAGATAGATAGATGGATGGGTGGATGGATGGATAGATAAATAAATGGATGGATGGATAGATGGATGGGTAGA